TACTTAAGGGTTCCAAACAACCGGTCCTTAAAAATAATAATAATGCAAATTCTGTAAATAACAGTATCAACAAGTCAGGCAATAAGGGATCTCGTCCTGTGGGCGAGAGCTTAAGTGAACTTTTCGACGAGTTCAGCACGCTCAACGCATTGGTTAACGTGGATTTGATGCTCAGCACTGTGAGGGTGTTGAATGATAGACTCAAGAACTGCTCCAATAACAAGGAGAAATTCCAGGTATTCCTGGCAGTCCTAAGCAATCTCGACTAAATGCCGGATTTACCAAAGATCATACTTTGGAACATGAGGTCGTTCAGGAAGTACAGAAATGAACTACTGTTTCTGATCACAAAAGAGCAGCCGGACGTTGTCCTCCTCATGGAAACATGCCTGACTGCTAACGATGCTGCCAGTATACCGGGCTTCTGCATGTATAGGCAGGTAAGGGTGGCGGAGTCGCCATTCTCATCAATAGAAACTTGGCACACTCTACTATTGCCCCTAATAGGATCAGTGGGATTGAATTCTGCTTCGTCAAATTGGTCAATCCTAAAATATACGTCCGGGTGGCTTACGTGCCTCCATCGGTGAATATTACACCGGCTATTCTTGATGTCTTGACTGGGGTGGGTTCCCCTTTTGTACTTGGCGGTGATTTTAACGCAAAGCACCGTGCATGGAATAATCCCAAGGCCAATAAGAGCGGGACTATGCTTTTCAAACACCAGTTGAACAATGCCTATGAGGTGTTCTATCCAGACAGTCACACAAGATTCGTGCCGGACGTCAACCCATCGACACTGGATATCTTTCTCTCATCACTTGATGAGGCGGTTAAGTGTGAGGCACTGGATCCCGATCCTTCTGACCATACCCCTGTTGTACTGTATCCAGACATCCTGGACCTAAAGTCAGGTATTGATACGGTTACTGACTGGCATAAATATAAGTTGCTCACCGCCAACTATAATCTCACGACTGACTTCGGATCGGTCGGCGAGGTCGATGATGAGATTCGGAGTCTTACGTGCAAACTGCACGCGGCGAGGCCACCACTAAGTTGGACACCTCCAAAACTAGACACGGGTTCTTACACAATGACTCTTATCTTCAAACACTTATTAGGAGAAGAAGGAGAATTAGGAAACATGCCCAGAATATTGGGGTTTCCTATTACTTCGCGGGAATAGGTGACAAAATAATTAATGTTAATAATTTTACAAGGAGATTTATTCTCGTCACTTATGTGCGTCCGATCGCTTGGGAGATTTCCGCTCGAATGGCTTTGTCCGAACAGACAACCAACGGCTCTCCCTTAGCTCTTCTTAGAAAAACACTTCTCAAGAAGAGCGCGTAAACACATCCAAAAAGGGCCATGTGACCCGTCGCTAGGCCAGTCCGCCACAGTACCCCCTTACCAGTGACAACGCTTGATAAGGAAGTCGTATTTACAAACTTATTCTACGTTCGCTTAAACTAACTTACTTCTAAATCACAATATATTAAACCTAAATAAAACTACACATCTTAAGCTAACTTTTTCCTGCTTGATAACGTTCAGGAAAGCGGACTCGTCTACCTGCACGCGTAATATACCGTGTTCGTGTTTCATCATTAACGGCATTATCAACCGTTTGTCCCACCTGGCTTTCATGAGATTGATTAGCTCGTGGTTCAACCACCAGAAACGGTTCTTGTGAAAATTCATTGTCGTTGAGGTGTCGGTCAATATTTTCAGATATAACAAAAGCCGGTTTCAATCTATCAATTGAAACTCTTACGTCTTTTTTGTTAATCCTAATCACGAAATTTTTATCATTCCGCTCAATCACCTCATAAGGTCCATCATACGGCGGTTGTAACGGACCTCGGACAGCATCGTGACGAAGAAATACGAATGGACATGATGCAAGTTCTTTAAACACAAAAATTTTCTTCGTACCATGTCGAGTTACAGGAACTGGCTTAATTCTTTCAACATGTTCCTTTAAACGCGAAACAAATGTTGAATTTGCCTCTTGACTAGAGGATAAAAAGAATTCAGCAGGTAATCGGATTACTGTACCATAAATCATTTCCGCCGCTGTTGCTTTTAAATCTTCCTTAAACGCGGTACGTATCCCTAACAGAACAATTGGCAAAATTTCGGGCCAACTATCGGAGTCATGACATTTTATTGCGGCTTTTAATTGCCGATGCAACCGTTCTACTATTCCGTTAGCCTCGGGATGGTACGCAGTCGTTCTTAAATGTTTTGTACCAAGACGTTTGCATAATTCATTAAATAATACGGACTCGAATTGTCGCCCCTGATCAGATGTTTCTCGCAAGGGTACGCCAAAACGAGCAATCCACGTTGACAAAAAGGCTGACGCCACCGTAGACGCATCCATATCGACAATGGAAATAGCCTCGGGCCAACGCGAGAATCGATCTATGCATGTTAGACAGTATGGATATCCCTGTGCATATTGCATCGTGATAATATCGGTGTGTATGTGCTCGAAACGTCCGGCTAACATTCGAAAATCACCGATGGGTGCAGACACGTGTCTGGTAATCTTACATCGTTGACACAGAATACATTATTGTGCCCAATTTCGACAATCTTTGTTCACGGACGGCCATACGAAACGCGTTACATCGATCATAAGCGCTATACTTCTGTTGCGCAGAAGATAAAACCTTGGTGAAAAACCGTAAAGGTTGCCACGCGTTCTCAATTCGTTGCTGTAAAACAGCTCCTATCGCATAATCTGAAGCGTCAACTACCAAACTTATCGGCGCACCTGCTACCGGATCATCGTCGCATTAACGAGAGCTCGTTTTGATTTGTTGAATGCATCTTCTAATTGTTCCGTCCATTCGCGATAGGCGCGTTACCCTTTACAATACCTTTCAAGAAGTCATTAAGAGGTCGCAAAATTCCCGCCGCGTCAGGTGTGAATCTTCGATAAAAATTTATCATACCAAGATATCTACGCATTTGTTTAATATTTATAGGCTTTGGGAAATTTGTAATAGCCTCTACACGTTCGCGGAGCGGTTTTATTCCCTCGGCATTTACAGAGTAACCGAGGAACGCTATCTCGTCGACACCGAAAACGGTTTTCGCGAGGTTGATTACTACCCTGTATTCGTTTAAACGACTAAACAGAATGTTTAGATGTTCGCGATGCTGTTCGGTATCGTCGGACGCTATCAAGAAATCATCGATATACGCAAAAACAAAATCTCAATCACGCGTCATTTCGTCTACGAACCTTTGGCATGTTTGTGCCGCGTTCCGAAGACCGAACATCATATTTGTGGCCTCGAACAACCCAAATGGTGTCGTAATTGCCGTCTTTGCGATGTCCTCAGACGCGACCGGGATTTGATGATATGCTCTTACCAAATCTATCTTTGAAAATATGCGCTTCCCATGTAAACGCTGAGCGAGATCCTCGATATGTGGCGGCGAATATCTATCCGGCACGGTACAGGCGTTGAGTGCTCTGTAGTCACCGCAGGGTCGCAATCCTCCGTCCTTCTTCGTGACGACGTGCAGGGGTGATGCCCATGGACTTTTGGAAGGTCAAATCACACCTTGTTCGAGCATCAATTCGAATTCTGCCTTCACCTGCTTAAAACGATCAGGCGCGAGACGACGAGGCTTGCAGTACACCGGTGGTCCAGGCGTTGTTTCGATGTGATGTGTCACATTATGCTTCGCACGTTCTTTACCAAAAACAGGAGGTCGTGTCAAATCCGGGAACCCTGCGAGCAACTGATGATATGTCGACTCGCCGGCGATTGTTTTAATCGTCGCGATACTCGCAGGAGCTGCATATCCGTTTGACGACAAAGTCGTTGTCGAGTCGACTAAGCGTCTGTTCCGCGGATCAACTAACAATCCATAATGACTGAGAAAGTCCATTCCAATTATGGGTTTGCTAACGTCTGCCACAACAAACCACCACTTAAAGTCTCGGCGAAGCGCGAGATCTAAAACCACTGCGATGGTGCCGTACGTTGCAATACGTGCCCCGTTGGCCGCAAAAAGTTCGTACTCGCACCTTTTCATGTGTCCGCGCACTAGATCACGGGGAAATACGCATAAATCAGCCCCTGTGTCCACTAAAAATGAAATCTTCGACTTCTTATCAGTCACGAGGATGCGGCGGGACACAAAACCGTCGTCGTGTGCCGCATTCACGGACGGCTGTCGGCGTTTCCCGCACTCCACGTGCATGGAGCTCGGCATTTCGTCGCGTTCTGGCCAAAATTTCCGTGGTACCAGCATAATCCCGATGATTCTTGTCTGCCCTTGCTGCGTGATCGACTACGTTGCCGAGCTGATCGTCCGGCAGAGCGTCGGCGGTGCTTGTTTCCAGCGTTGAGCTGCAATCGCAACTGTTTAATTTGCTCCCGCAACTCATCTAATTCGCTGCTTTTCGCTTGTTGAACAGCTGCGACTTGCCCAGGCCCCGGACGAATTTCGTGAATTCGATCTGCCATTTCGGTTAACGCACTGATCTTCGTCTCAGTGGTGGCGGCCAAAACTCGTTGTGTGTTGGCCGGCAGCCGATTTTTCCACAGAGTTAAAATGAAATCATCTGGAACCGAGGGGGTGGCAAGCTTTTTCTGGTCTCTGAAAAACTGAGACGGTGTTCGTTCTCCTATCTCTTCGTTTTCCAGCAATTTACGCACTCGCGAACTGTCCGATTCCGCGAGCCTTTTTATGAGTTCACCTTTAAGGTACTCATACTGACCGGTCGCAGGGGGATCGAGCACCACGTCTTACACTTGCTCAACATACTTCTCGCCTAAATTCGCGATCGTAATATTAAACTTTGTTTCGTCACTCATGATTCGATGGAAGTTGTCCTTGAATGCTGGCAAGACCGAGGCCATTGTCTTTGCGAGGAGACTTGTTAAACCTCCGAGTCCGCTCGAGGTTCAGGGCGTATCCATAAATTGGTCGAATAGAGTCACCTATCTGGGTGTGATCCTGGATTCCAGACTCACGTGGATCCCAGCTATCACTGATCGAATTCAGAAGACATTGAAGGTCGCGGGCGCGCTTAGAGCGCATACCAGTCGTTCGTCTCCCTTAAACAGGAACATCAGGCTGTCCATTTACAGAATTTGCATTAGGCCGGTCCTTAGATACGGTGCACTTGTATGGTGGGACTGTGTCTCGAACACCAGGAAAACCCAAGTTCAAAGGTTGCAAAAAAAAATAATCAAATCCATCATCAGGGTCCCCTGGAAAACCAGTACCTCGGAGTTCTGTAAAGTGGCTGGCACCCCTCTCATCAGGGAATACGTTGAGCGCCTCATTGAGGGCTTCAATACCGACGTAGCGAATAATCAACTAATTAGAGATCTTTCTAAATTTAATAGACATACGATTCCTTACAAAATCAAAGTTAAATTCCCGTTGTTCAGCAAGTTCATGTAAATACATTCATTTCCTGCTTGATTATCACAAACTAACTCATGAGGCGGTGGTGGAAAGTCTGCCTCCTCTCCCCATCCCGAGGATCAGCTCATCGTTCTTTAGTTTGCTTCTTACCTTAATAATTTTATATCATTAATTTTATCCTTATCATAAGTTACCTATATCTAACTGTATTACCATTTTATTAACTTTAGTTAATCTATGCACGCTTGTCTGCAAATGCCATAAGCATGCTGATAATCCATTCCTTGGATGTTACAGGGTCTTCATTTTCCCTGATCTGATTCATTTTTCTTATTTTATCCAACACCGTGAATCGCGCTTAGATTACCCTTCATCCTGGTTGCGGTGCATTCACCTCATACTGGTCTTTGCCATATTCCGGTTTTCACCCGACCGAGAATTCCATAACTACTGCTAACTCGATTTCATTGGTGGTTTTTTGAAACTTTTCCACCATCCACATCAAGACACCTATTTTTATATTTGCCGCCATTTGATATCGCTAACTACATCCTTACATTCATGCATTCCGGTAAGCTGGCCTAAGTTGGCAGGTACGGAAATCGAAGGTGACTCCACCTGGACGTGATGGCTTAACCAACAACTCGGGATAACTGTGGAGCCCCCCCACCTTCTACAATCATCGCCATCTTGGAAAAAACAAAAAAGCCCTTTGGATGAGTTCTGAACTAGTTTTCTAACACACGGAAGCGTTGCTTCTCCACGCCGAGAGATCCTTTGCGTGAGTGTTTAAACTTTTGTTAGACTTTCCCCCGCGACTTCGCTGTGTGAATCAGAGTACGAATTCTCTTCGCGTAAGAGTTGACCATGTATAAAAGCACATTGTATGAGTACCTAAGAATATAGACAAGTGTGTAACCATTTATAAATTCGTCTCAAGTTTTATTTTGCACATCCTGAATTTCTTTCCAACTTAGCTCGATAACCGGAGTATCTCGCAACCGATACGTCTTAGCCGCTCGAGACGTATCAACGAAGGTGACCTGCCAATCCGACATCCTTTAAACATAAGTGGCTAAAGGGGACTGACCCTCCCTAGTCGTCCACGTCCTACAGCTTGTCCTTGGTCCTCGGCCCCTCCAAACTCGCTGAATCCCCAGAGCCTTCGCGGGGTTTTTAGTCGGTTAGAGTCCGACATTACCCCCTGCGTGGCTCCACCCGCCTGCTAAGACAGCAGCGGGAGGAGAAACGGAGGGGGTGTCCATGATGGATTTTCCCCGCGTCAAAAAAAAAAAAAA